TCAAGCATGTCTCTTTTCTTCTCACTGGCAAGTGGAAAGTGATAGCAATTAATGTAAGTTGAAATCAAGAAAATAGGTGTAGATAATAGGTGTAGGTAAGAAAAAAGATATATGCTTGGCATAACTGAGGACAATAGGAAGTTACTTTGCATATATAGCAAGAATACATAACCTAGTAAGAAGAGTAATGGTCCTATACTAGGTAGAGATGCTGTAAGAATCAAGAATTAGCTGAAAAGGGAAAAGTGTTGAACAAATATTCTGCTTTATGTTTGTGGAAAAGCCAGATATATTCAATCCAATAATAAATAACTCTCATTCACAGTAGCTAAAGAGAATGTTAAACAATAGCTATCAAAGTTAGATGTTTTACAATCAAGATTTCAGCTTACGTTGCATTTAGGATTTTTTGAAGAGCTGGTCTATGAGTACTGTGGAACATTAAAGTTGATTTTTTAATAAATCCTTTAAAACTGGGAGAGTTCCAAAATATAGCAAGAAGCTAACTTTGTGCCAGTACTTTTAAAGGCTAAGTGGCAAAACATGAATAATTATAAGTATGACATCAATCAGTGGAGAATATTGCATAGCATACAGGGGGCTGACTAATAATTATTATTTGTAAGTATTAATTATCTTTAATATTATACATCATTCGACACCATGTTAGCTAATAAATTTAAAATGGGTCAGTGAAATTAAAGCTGATATGTGTGTTTATCGATTTAATCAAACTGAATATAATTTTTTTAAGTATTATCAATTAGATTTACAAAGATAATGATGTGAAGGTAAGAAACTCTTCAAAACATTTGACTTGGCTTCATATGTCGGCCTCGATTCATCATCTGAATTATGCAAAATCAAGATTAGATTTGTTACCATCTGTAAGTACCAGCAGTTAATAGACTAACTATAGTCATGCCTCATGACTGAATATTGAAGCCAAATAAATTCAGGTTAGAAATAAGGTACATATATTTGTGGGGAACGAGGTCATGGAAAAAATTCTCCATCCTGGATATTTTTAAAGGAAAATCTAATGTAACTAGTTTGGGCAGTAAATGTGGAAAGTGAGGAAGAGCACAGAATCAGCAGAGGCAGCGATGGGGAGTTAATTCCCTCTGCTTGCCAGTCTGCATGCACAGGCAGCAGGTATTCTTTCTCCTCTTTCCCCATTTTCTTCTCACATTATTCCCCTGATTTTGCAGCCAAAGCCTTTCTGAGCCCCACTGCAGAGGCACACACGCTGTAGCTCTAGAGCAGTGGCAGGTTCTGAGCTTGGCAGTGAGCACTGCTCAGCCTGAATTTTGTAAAAGGTGAGAAAGGACCATCACATTTTTAGGTACTTTGGAGGTCTTCATCAAAAGACAGGGATCCTGTCCATCACTCCAAACCTAGACAAGGTGGCCCAGTCCTGGAAGAAAGAGGGAATTAGGTCTGTGTTTTGGTCCAAGCCCCAAGAGTCACATCATGTTCCTGTGTCCTCCTTGGCCCCCCTCACCTCCATGCTAGAGGGACAAGTAATGGATGCCGAGTTCTTTCTGGGGCATGGGATGGCCCTACAGTATCCCAACAGCCTTCCCTTCCCAAACAACTGCTCCCCATCCCCTGCAGGGGAAAACCCGTAAATCTGGTGGAAGTATCAAACCCGTGGGTCTGCCCACAGGTCATGGGCAGGATAAGGCAAACAATATCAAATATTTTCTGTGTCAGGATGAAGTCAAAAAGATATATCATTTAACAACACTTTACTTTCTTTACACATTTTCAGTGCAGTACTCTAAAATCAAGCCCTGCAGTATCGTTTTTCACAGAAATGGTTCCTGTAGCCTTTGCTAAGTGTTTGGGCAGTAAATGTGGAAAGCGAGGAGGAGCACCAGAAGCAGCAGAGGCATTGTTAGGATTATTATTAGGCTTGTAGCACAGACTAAGACAAAATGAATAAAAGGCAGATAAATATATGTTATCTATGCTTAATATATATTAACTGACTTTGTTTAGGGAAAACTGTAGGTCAACTGCAGCAAATTTAAACTAAAACAACAGAAATATCGGAGAGTTGAAGAGATGTATGAGAAGAAATTTGAAAGTATGGCTAGGCAGTAGCTGAGTGTAGAAAATGGAAGCATGACAGATTTGTAAACCCAGGGAAATGAATTAAATTATTTTCAAAAGTAATATACACTTATTAAAGAAAAAATTGGGCCAGGCTGCTCTTACAAGGAAAATTGTGTCACCGTGATAAATCAGTACTCCAGCTGACACTGAACTAAGCAGAGTTCTGTGTGAACATGCTGTGAACACTTCTCTGCTTATAAGGCAGAGGTGACCTAGAATTCATTCTCTCAGGCCTGCAAGTGAATGAGAACTGACTTGTAACAGCCTTTAGGGGAGCACTCTCTAGATACTGCAGTTGGAACAGGAATGTTCTGTGTTGTAAATGAGAGCACTTAGGCTACAATTAGCGTCACTGAGTTTTACAATTTATTGCTGGTAGTATGAGGAATGCATTACAAGTTTGCAAATCCAAAAGGAGGCTTATAATTTCATACATGATTCTGTTTCTTGTAGTGGCCTTACTAAATCTTATTAGTTTTGACCATGGAAAAAATGTAATATTCCTATGACTCTTCAGTTAACATGCATCGCAATCTCGCAAGTTCCCTTTTCATTGCACAAGGGTCTGCTTTACATCTTTATTACCTATATCCTGGGTTATGATCTGATTGGAAGGAACATCCTGAATCAGTGACTAACAGCATCATGTCACCCATGGCCACATAATCATGTTTATCTGTATGTTAGTGACCACCTTAATAGACAGTTTGCCCCTGCTACTTCAGTAATGAACACTGTCCCAGGCTGTCAGCTCTTTGATGACTGGGAAACAGTTGCAGGAAATTTGTATGCATAGTTTTGCCTTACCATCAGGGAATACCTATCTTGTTTTTATTTTTTGTGACCTGGAATCTTAATTTTGTGTGCAACCTTGCTGAGGTTTAGGAATGGTATTCTTCAATTTAGTAGTCCCACTAAAACCATGCACCACTCCCCCTCCCCCCTCCAATTGGAGGCACAAAGGGCAAAGATCATGGGTTGAGATAAGAACAATTAACTGGATACAGCAATGAGATAAGAAACAGCAACAATATTAATAACAAAAGGTATAAGAAAAGAAATTATTCACATGGAAAACTTTCTATGAGGCTCTCTGCCATGTTTTGTGGACCAGAAGAAACCTCTTCTTCCCTTTACCCCACCCCAGCAATGATGTGAGGTGGTATAGAATAACATTTGTGCCCTAGCTATGCCCCCTCCCACATACTGCAAAAAATTAACCCTGTCCTGGCTGTCAGCAGGACAAACTTGAGCCTCAGTTTTAGTGTATCAGTTTCAAAATTTACTGTTTTCCTGAAAAATATAACTCTGACAAATCTGGGGAGGTGTGTCCACTGTTTGTATAGGGAACAGTGCCATGCTTCTCTTCCACCTTGCATCAGCATTGTCAATAATGAGAGTAAAAGCCCTAGTCAAAGTTTAGGTCTCTTCCTCTCTGCCTTAGTTCTTTCCATGCAGAATACTTTGTCAGTTATCATAGAGAAGCTGATTATATTCTTCAGAATGTTTTTCATTCATCCATAAGTCTGGTACTGTATTTCACTATTATTATTTTACAAAAATAAAATTATGTAAATATCCCAAACTATCAGCCAAAGACTGCAGAAAACCAAAGGTGGAGACAGCTGAGCGTAAAATCCCTGAAGGCACTGTGGAGGAGAGACAGACTAATGGAAAGAAGGGACAGGCAGCTTTTGGAAGAACCAACTTTTAGTGGACCAGTGGCTCTAGGAAGCCTTAGTTAAACTTGTGTTTATGTCAGTTGCCCATGTGTGTAGCCTGATTTGTGAACCAGCATTTTTTTGACTGTCAGGTTATATATGTGAACAAATTCATAGTCTGTATTCTTTTCCCTTTTTTTCCCTACTTTACTGAGTAGTCCAATTGAAATGAAACTTTGGGAGAGGTTTACCCAAGTCACAAAACACAGTGTCTTGCAAGTAGTCTTTAAATCACTTCAAGCTCCCTGAACAGTGTGAGGTTGGTCCTCCTAGAGATGTGTTGAACCTGAGATAAAAGCTTTATAAAATCTAAGGAAGGAAATATAGGAATCTTTTTTTTCCCCCCCAAAAAACCCCACATGAGTTTGAAATGTACCAAATAAATCTTTTTTCTGAATGTTCATTATCTATGCCGGAACTGTTGTCTGGTCTGTAACAGACAATGATTACCCCATAGCACAGTAGTACTTCACTCCCAAGAGTGCTGATGGAGCTACAGGAAACATGGGTATTCTGTATTTGGATTTAGATTTCCTGGTTAAACACAGTATATGGATGGCAAGTGCTGAGAATGGTGTCAGATCTGTGTTACTTGTTTTTAAAGAGGCACCAAGTACCGCAGGCACAAAGAAAGTGCCTTCGCGCTATGCAAGGCAGTCTCCTTAGCATGAGGTATAGGATCTTTAGCTGACAACTATTTAGAACCAGAAAAGACTGCATTTAATTGCAAACATTGAATTTTAGGGTTAATTCTGACTATGGCTTCCAGACCTTAGAAAAATGCAAGTATTGAATAGTATCTGTCCTACAGGTTCATCAGCACAGAACTAATATCCAAAAATACTCCCCACAGAAGTATTCCCTCCCCTTCTATCATCCTAAAATGAAGGAGTCTAACTATAGCAGATTGCACAGCATGAGGCATCTTGTGCATGAAAAATTACACAATTATGAATGTTTGGATTAGTTTATATGATTGACTGATCATCCTTAAGTACTTTATAACGTAACCATTCCGCAAATTAGGCTGATGTAATGTATCCCTATCAACAAGTAATTTCCTGTATGTTTGTTTGCAGTGTTCTCTAGCAGCTGCATTAAGTTTGTTAATGGGATGTGGTGAGTACATCGTGATTCCACTCACTCTTTATTTCATAGGTTGGTGAGACCAGATGCAAAAAAGTTTGCACTTCGAAATCTGATCTGAGATCCAATGATTTCAGCATCGTTGGAAGCTTGCCAAGAGATTTTGAATTATCAAATTATGACTGTTATGGGAAGCCCATTGAAGTCAACAATGGGCTCGGGAAATCTCAAGCCAAGAACAACAAGAAGCCTCCTCCTCCCAAGCCTGTCATTCCATCAGCAGCAAAGAGAATTGATCTTTATGCAAGAGCACTGTTCCCTTTTTGCTTCTTGTTCTTCAACGTCATATACTGGTCCATATATTTATGATAAATCTTTTATTTATTTTTTCATATGTATAAAATATAACCCATTTCATTATCCCTTCCCAGTCATGAAGGCCACTGTGTGAAATTATTTGCATTTGCAAAGCAATATGTTGCATCTTGATGCCGTGCGATTGTACTGAACATATGGCATCTGAAATTTGAATGAAAGCATGACACTGCAATGTCTGTGCTCTGACCAACGTTGTATATAAATGTACAGCACACATCCTGCTTTAGGAATATATATGAAGGACAATGCATACTACGTTATAAAGCTGAATAACGCTCTTCACTTATTAGTAACATACAGAAATTTAAAGTGTTTCTGACAATGAAACTGATGTGCACGTTGAGTATTATTAAAATCAGTATTCTAGTATATGTAGTATTTAACAGCTTTTCTGCTGACTTCCAGAGGGAAAAAACCACCCACCAAACATCTTGTTCTTGTATAATTTTAGATGGCACTGTTGAAGAAAAAGCTAAGATGTAATTCATATTATTTAGACTTTGTAAGTAAAGGCAGCATCAAATAAGCAGATCTTGTCTATGTGGAAAAATAAAGATCAGAGAACTACTAATTTTGTAAAATCAGCTCATTTAGGAAAAAAACCCCAACAATTGTGTCTATGAAGCAGGCACACTTAAGTGCGTGAGAATATGCTGACAATAAAACATTGGGCCAGATATTGACTGCTGTTTCTTTAGGCACAAACTAGATACAGTATCTCAAAAACAAACAAGCCACTTTCTAGACTGAATGTATGAGGAGTTTTAGGAAGGAATCACAAGATGCAGTTCAGCATGAGGTTTGTTATACATTTTTACATTACATTTACATTACTTTGTCCTTCTATAGCATCTGGCAAGTGTGTAAGTCACTTTTTTTTTTGTTGTTGCATTGGACACATCTTACTTGACTTGTTTTGTTTATCCCCTTGAAAACTTTCATTTTAAACAAACCAGTTGTCAAGAATGAAATCCTATTTTCACCATTAATTATACCTTTTTCATTTGTGTGCTAGCTAACACGTAGGAGTGAAAGCATGTCCAAAGGTCTAAGGGGCTAAGACTCTTAAATATATCATGAGCCTCCTGTAGATGCCAGGGTACATCTGTTGTAAGGGCGAGTCATGCAATGAAATGCAGCCTAAAGGAAGCTGCAGGTATGTAGGCATCTGAGTAGCGTGTGTTCTCTCAGAACACAGGGGCTTGGCCTCGGCCCATGAGAGTGTGCGTAGAGAAATATGTCTCTGCTTGTAAAGCTGGGACACCACAGCTAGTTACAACATGTGTACATGTTACTAGTTGCAATATGAAAATAAGGCAGTTCTCACTAACTTTGCAATTCATAAGAGTAAACATGAGTTACTGGCGCCTCTTGGGCTCAGAAGGGACTAATTTAAATACATGAGACCTTCCGTAGTGTGGAAACAGAAACAATCCCACTTGCACTACATTTCTGGCATGTCCAGGATGTATTGAGCTAATGCAGGCCACCACAATCAGACTGTTGCATCACTTGGGTGTTTTCCACCATGAGAATGTTGTCCACATGCAGCAAGCCTGCACAACCAAAAGGTCAAAAGTGGGAATATAAGAAGAGCAATGGCATGCCACACCAGCTTCACTTGGACATCTGGCAGCCCTGCACGTTCCCAGGGCCTCTTCTAACCACTGCCACTTTGTGATCCACAGGCTGGTTGCAACTTATCATGTTTGGGTTGAAGAGATCTGCTCCTCAGAGTATGGTCACGTGTTTTTCACCAGCTCCCTGGCCACTTTCTTGTGAGGGTTTCAGGGAGCCACTCTACCAGGTGGCCACAGTTTGTCCTTTCGATTTCTTTCTGATCTAAGGAAATGGAATAAAAATCCCAGGTGTTACTGAGCTGTCTTGAACCAGGGCTGAGGGAAGGGATATCTTAAAGGTCTGCTTCAAAATTTTAATAATTCTTTTGGTTGAAGGTAATTGCAGAATTGTCAAAGACTCCTAAGAAGCAATAAGGAAAAGTATAGGAGAGGAAGGAAGGGAGAGGGAACTTTTATACGTACAGAGTGCTATATTTATAGACATTATTTATTCTCATACTTGTATTTTTTCTTACAGTACTGGAAGGCAAGAAAATAATTACTCTGTGTTGGAAATTATATGAATTTTGGAAGATAATTTTCTTGTTGGAACTCTTATTAAATGATTTATCTGTAATTAGTGTCCACATTCTATCTGTAAAATCTCAATTATAGATTTTATTGTTAAATTAATCTTTGTTCCTTCTTGGTTTCCTGCTTACTTGATGGCTTTTGTGTTTTATCATAAAACATTTAATCAATAATACACTGTAATTGCTTTCCAACTCACACAAAGGGAAGAAAAAGGAATGCATATTGTTCAGATAAAGGTTTTTTGTTCATTATAGCACAAAAACTAAGACCAGAAGCAAAGTTTAACAGCAAATTTGAAACTAAATTTAAAATGAACCAGTATCAGCAATAAAGAATTAATTTTCTTTTTACTTATATTAGATAATATTGCAGTATTTGTATTACCTTGGAACATATTAGCTTGTCCTACTGAGCAGTAATAATTGATTTATTTTATTTTTCCTCTTTCCACTAAAGGTCATTGAAAGTTTTGCATGCCATCTTACATTATGGTCCTCCAGCACCCTCTAGTTGTAAAATTCTGCCTGTTGACTGATTTCAGGAATGTGGTGCAAATACAAAACTGTATAGGCAATATGGGATCTCACCTGATTGTGATAATGTGACAGGAAAAAAGCTATTATTAAATTAAAAATAAATGTACATTGAATCAATGTACAGCTATAGAAACTTGCAATGCAGTATGAATTTAAAATTGAAGAAATTAAGACATTCCAGTAGTAGCAAAGATGAAGTTCTTGAAGTACACACTAGTAACTAGATTAACCAGTCATGATGTCTGAACAAACCGCATGACAGCAAAATCTGTTTTTGAGGGAGAGGCCATCTGTGTTTCAGCTGACATTTACTTTAAGTTCTGCTGTTTGCTGGTAGGAGAGTTACAAATTTTTGTTCTACCCTTAACATAACCCTTGGTATTTTCTTGGCTCTTAAGCCCTTTAGTTATCTTTCTACATTTTTCAGGATTTTAGAACACATTCAAACACTGCATCAGGAATTTCCGTGGAGATTAATTAATTCATTTCTTAACTGCGTCCACAAATTTGGGGTAGACAATAAGTAAGGATGTGATTTGAAAAGTATATCTGCTGCTTTGTGTTAATTCCCTGTAATCCATACCTCATGTTTGACATCCTGTTTTAGGAGCACCTCTTTAGTGGCTAATGGCACCTCCTCTTTTTTTCTGTTAATTCTGGCTGAGATGGTGTATGTGAGCAGTCTGTCCTTTGAGTGAGGAAAGGAGTTTATTTTTGTAAGTGCAGTGTACAGAAGATTGACTGCTTGGAAACACTGCCAAGCAACTTTCATTCTTCAAAGTCTTCAAATTAATTTGGACTTGGTAACAGGGTAAAGAGAGAGTGTCTTTAGCACCCTATGACCCATTAAAGAGAAAGTAGCAACACTGCCTTCTGGAGTAGTGCCAATGGGCATGACCACAGTCATTGATCTGGCTCTATAATCATTTAAAGGAAATGCACTTACAAGTAATCTTTATTTAAAATTATTTTACTCTGTAGAGAGACAATACCTTACTTCAGCAGTCTGTTATAGTTGTTAAGGGAATCTATTAAGAGACGTTATAATACAGGTCTCTTCTTCAATTAAAGCAGCTTATCATTATGGTTACTGAGTGACTTGCAATAAGGATATTTATAGAATAGGTAGCATTAAATTATTTATTTCCAAGGGAGTGCAACCTGAATATATGCAGTGCCAAGTGATTTTTCTGGCTATTGAGATATCATAGTGCTGCAGTGAGTACAAATGAGGTGTGTAGGAGGTGTGTAGGAGATAAGGAGATAGGACACTCTTACTGATGCTCTGGTATACTAATTCCGGGATTACAGAAGATAATGTGGAAAGAAATTCAGATAAAAAGAGATTGCATAATAGTTTTGTTTGTGTCTACAATTTAATTTGTGTCTAACAATTTAATTGTTTTGTGTATGAGTTACCTTATTTTTATATAACTATAAAGAATAAATTTAAAAAAAAGGAAAATTGATCTCATCTTTGGTGCCCAAAAGATACAGAAACTAAGTCTTTTCCTATGAAGCTCTACACTTAAGTAAACAGTGGAATATACAGGAAAAGAATGCAGTTTTAAGGACATAAATTTCTCATCATTGTGATTTTGTCTACAACATTGTATCAAATCAATCAGAAGCAATCTGGGCTGCTTGCAGCACTCCTTTGTATTCTGACTTATTGGAGAGAGAAGCCTACCCCACTACCCTGCCTTGCACCTGTCCTCCTTCCACCAGTGGGAATGGTGTTGGCAGACATTTAAAATAAAGATTACCTGGCTATTCTGAAATCTTTCTTAAAGCCTTTCATTGCTATGATTATGTCTGTGCTGCAGTCACTGAAATGCCCACAGCTAATGCAGGCCTATCCAAATTAGCCTTAAACTAGATGTTTTGGGGAGGGCTGGAAACATCACCATGGTGACGGTGAGCTCTGGCTGGGAAGCCTACCTGCTGGCTAGGACAGGAAAAAATATGCTTGGTTTTAACCCCCACTAAGCTTTGTGCTGCCTTGGCTGTTACGCTCAAACGGTTGGTTTAAAGTTAGCTGGTGTGGGTGTTTATCAGCCCATGGCTGTGAAATGTAGGTGTATGCTGGATGACGCACCATGTGCTAGGACAGAATTGATTCTTCCCACGGGTGATGTGAAAGATGCCACTGTAAAATATTCTCTCCGTGGGTCTTGATGACATATGGGATTTCTGACATGTTTAATTTTGTGTACTGACAAGAGCATTCACTGGCAATTACAAAAAAATGCCAGTTTATTTTCCTGAACCAATGCACATGTGAATGAATGAGTTGTATTCACCCACCTGAGCATGAACGAGGTTGCCTCCTGAGTCTAGGTCATAAGACTATCCCTTTTATGAGCCATTCTGTTTAAAGTCCTTAACTCTAATAGAGGATATTAGATCACAGTCTTTTGAATGAATAATGAGACTAGAGAAACTAGTGAGACTAACAAGACTAAGACTGTATAAGTTTTTTTTGGCTTCCAGATGCCCGTGGATGTCAACCCTGATCTTGAGGGGCACTCCCTGATTACTTTTCAGCATGGGGTTTCTCAACATGTCAGGTTCTGGAGAACAGTAACCACTGACTCCCTGCCAAGAGGGGATGTGTTTGAAGGGCCTTCAAGTTTGTTAGTCAACTCATCTTTGGAATATTGAGATACATCTACAAAGTCTGCCTGGCACCATTAACTGTCACGCAGAGACAGCAGATGCATTAAGCACGTCTTTTAGTACAAGAAAGTTAATGATCTTTTCTCTTACTGCATGAAGGTATGATTTACTGTGACGGAGACCAACCAGTAAGACAATGTGGGTTACTGAGGATTTCTGTCCCACCAGGGAGTTGCTTAGGCCACATAGGATACTTTGAAACAAAGTGTGGGGACTATGGAGTACAAAGGATAAGGTATTGCATAACTGTTTTCCACCCGATGAGTTCCTGAATCTGTGTCAGTGGATAGTGTGGAGTTTTTCATATATATCTGTGTAGGTCTGTTTCTTTCTAAGAATATTCACAGTGGGAGTCATTTTTCACTTGAGGTAGCAAACTCAAGGTTTTTGGGGCCAAGAAACCCTCCTGAGTATAGCAGGTCACGTTGTACCCTTACCCCCTGCAAAAACCTTTCAACTCAGAGGAAACCTTCTCTAACGCCGTAAATTGCAAGAAAAACCTCTGCTGAAACTGAGACTGCTGCTGAGAGGAAAAACTGTGTGTAGGCAGCCCCTGTGCTTTCACCTTCTTTCACTGTAGCATACATCATGATAATCAACAGCACTGTGTAGCTTTTCTGTTCTGCGAAGCACTCCTTTTATCAAGCTTGAGTGATTTCCTTGGCAAAAACTTCGTCCATCCTACCTTTCATCTCCTTACAGTCAGAGCAAAGACTGTGTGTGTGACTCTAACAGTGTTCATGAAGGCAGGCCAGTGCTGATGTTCAAGAACAGAGGAACAGTAATATATGAGAAGACCTCGGATACCCTTATTTCTCAAATTTTAGCATTATCTGTCTTATGCCATTTCAGTTATATCCCTATAACTCAGAGTATTGTGATATTTGGATAACATCTCACTACATGCTCACTTATATTTTTGAGTTAAGTGTATTGAATCATGAATTTCCTGTCAAAAGCAGAATACAAAAAAAAGAGAGTAGTCCATGTGACATTTTTTAAAATGTTGATTTCCTCTATTAACCTTAAAACTTGCATTTGACCCAAAGGCTAGAAAAATAATGTTTCAGTGTTTAATAAGCCTTACATTGTCATAACAGATTTATCAATGTCTCAAGCAGATTCATTCTTCCAGATTAATTTATTTGTTTCTTTGACTCCCAAAGGCCAGCTCACTGTAAAACATTAATTTAAATACTGGCTATTTCAAAGGCATAATACTGACAGGAACTGACTGTAAAGACTAACGTTTTTGACCAATACCACTCCCGCATCAGTTTCTGCTTTTGAAAAAGCCTGTCTTGCTATCTACTCCTGCTTCTGACAAATCCTGTTTTGCCCCAGCCTACTGGAGGGTATAAAATCTTTGTAGGCTTTTTAAAATATCTATCTGATTGTGTCAGCTTCTGAGGCAGCCCTGCTCTCATTATCCTTCTGGATGTGCTTCAGGACCAGTATATTACAGAAGCAATCTTTTCAATCAAATACAAATGATATACAGCATCCGCTGTGAGCTATCATCTACTTTGTGGAATTAAACTTTAGTCTTTATTTAATAATTCTTCATATTTTCTAGTTGGTTGTTTCCCGAGGTGAAAACTTCTTAAATAAATAAATTCCTTAAAAGAATAAACAAATGTGCATAATGGCAGGAGAGAATCGCCTCAACCTTGCATGTTTTCTCTGAACTTAAAGCTCTTGCCTTACTGTGGTCTTAAAGCCAAGAAGGTTTCAGAGGATCTGCTGAAGTCATGATGGCTGCCCTACAGAAGCCTGGACAAGGACAAGAGCCCCTCTCCTTGTAGGACCTGCCCTGTACATCTCTATTCAATGCAAACCGGCCAGAGGAGAGCACAGCTAGGTTTCCCAAGTCCTGTGCCTTTGCAATAATGTGTTCATCACATTCACCACTTGATGAGTTTTCTTGCAACAGAGAGGCACTTTCTTAAGAAAAATAACAACACTGATGTCATAGTAATATTCCCAGACACTACGATTTCATGGGAGTGTTTTACACCACTACTGTAGGATATTGAATGTTACGAATTTTACCATGGGAGGTTTTAAACAGCAAGGGCATATCCAAGCTGGCAGCACTTTATTATCTGTTAACCATAAACATGGCTTTATTACTTTATTTGTCATATTCTTCCATAGACTTCCTATTTCAGGAAAAGCATTTTAAAATGGGAATTTTTCTAAGCATACCACAGCATATTGTGGTTTACTCTATTTTTTTTCCACAGAAGCATAAGGAAGAGATACTGTGTTTTACATTACAGTGCTCTTGCAGAAAGTTTGCTAGTGTCTGTGAAGAAAGTCTTGATGAAATTAAATCGGAAAAAAATTTCATGCAGTGTGCAAATGAAACAGCTAGGAATAAACCCATTTATGCAAGCCTCATGCTGAGAGTCTGATGAGCTTTGACAATTGGAATAAATTATTTTGTCTGAAAGGAGATTCCAGTCTTAAAAGACAGGATAACATTGAATCTTTCAACAGTTTTCATTTCTCATCTGAAAAGAAAAACTTTATAGGAAAGACCAGGTAGTCTTGTCCATATTGATGTCATATCTGCACACGACCATCATGCCCTCCTGTAATATGGTCTTTCTGCCAGTTCATGCTGCAAGAATTCAGTTGATGAACTTATTTCTTCTCTGACCAAGCAGTAAAAGAACTGCTGTTGTCTGACTGCGCACAGGGCACAGCTGAGGGCATGGCTTCATGTGCAGCCCAAGTCCAGACATCATAGGTAAGTGATGGTCTGTAGCTAAACACAGTACCCAGTAGGTAGAGGCAAGTGTCTCTTCCCCAGATCTCCAGTGCAAGTTTGGCAGATTATTACCTCTATTTTCTTATGTTCCTCTGCACTAAGTGACAGAAGACAACAAGGTGGCTTTCTCTTGCTCCAGATTTCTTTTGTTTAGATTGGATGTGGCTGGGGCAAAAAATTTTCTGTTTCTATAAGTTGTACAGTGCGTTAAGGCACTACTTTAATGCACACAAATAGTAATAAATAGTCATTATTAATCAGAGATTCAGTGACATACAGTAGTGATATCTGGATTTGGATTCTCCCAGTCTTAACATTTCTGAAAGCAGTCTGGCTCTGATTTCAAGTGCCTGATATTCCCCCTCGTTTACATTGGCTTTACACTATAATTTTTCTGATTTATAGTCAGAGGACAATCAAACCCATGTGCATGTGCACATTCTTTCCTTTAATATTGCTTCTTTCTGATATCTAAAGAAGATGTTTAAAATAACCTCACAGTTCCTTGCTTGCATCCAAATTCTGCAGAAGATTCTGCAGAGTAACAAAGGAGGAAGTTGTAGCTTTTAAAATTATATATTTATTCATTTATAATTTAATTTACATAAGCATAAATATCTATATTTAATATAATGACATTCTTAGGAATAAACCTTCATGAAAATAGCATGTTAGGATTTTATAAGTTACCAGTATTTTCCCCTTCTATTATTACTATTGTTTAGTTTGGCAAGTATTTGCAAAGTATATCCATATCATACCATGTATTTTTTCAGTTTCCTGTAAAATAAATCATCCCCTGCCATGACACAGAGTGAGCTATGTGGGCCACAAGATAATAAATCACATAATGGAGTAGCTCCTTCAATTGCAAATTCAGAACAAGTGTTGTTACATACAA